CCCCAAAACCCCAAAACCCCAAAACCCCTTAAGGATTTTTCAGGATTGAGAGCAGTGCAGAAGGCCATTAGCACAGGAATTTTGACCGGTTGGGATCCTTGAAGTGAGGATTTATGGGAAGGATGGACTCGGAGAGGAATTCGGAAGGGAGGGTGAGGGAGGTGGGGGAAGGGAGGGCTGGGTTGGCGTAGGGTGCTGGATTTGGAGGGTGAGAGGGGTCATGGAGATTAGGGGAAAGGAGAGATGGGAGGGATGTTATATGGAGGAGGAGGGTTGGTGTACTTACTGATGTAAAATGAGAATATTGATCCAACAGACTCTTCAGATTCATCTAGATGTTATTTTAGAGTGAATTACAATCGATCTCTCCTCCTAAGCTCTCAACAATCTTTTTTGAAATATGTAGTCCAATTCCTGTTCCATGTTGATTGATTTCTTTGCGATGAGCTTGAACCATTCTAAACATTTGGAATAAGTTTGCTTTTTTCTTGTTAATTCCTACTCCGCTATCTTTGACGGAAAACCATAATTGGATTCCTTTAGCTGATTTTTTCTGCTCTAAAATTACTTGTATTCCTCCTGCATGAGTAAATTTTACAGCGTTAGAGATAAGATTGATCAAAACCTGACGTATACGACCCTGATCAGATACGAAGAAACGATCGAGCAAGCTCTCATTCTCAGGAAGCACTTCAAAATAGAATCCTCTTTCATGACATTGTTCTTCAAAGATGTAGCGTATATCTTGTATTAATTCACCTAATTTAAAAGAACCTAATAATTACTGAGCAAGTTTACCAATATTCAGAGCGAAGACTCCAGAATCAAATTTCTCTAAATCTAATATATCCTCCACTAGGTTCATCAGCAGTCGTGAAGATATGGTTCCCATCTTCAGGAACTTCTCGATCCTGGCTGTGTGTTCATCTACTCTTAGCCTTGTCTCTTGGTTCAAGAAAGGACCTGCATCATCCAGGACTTCGTCAAACTGCATCTTTATGAGATTCAGAGAGTTCTCAAAAGCGTTTAACGGAGTTCGGAACTCGTGAGACACACTTGCAAACATCACTTTTTGGCAAGAAGACCTGGCTTGTTCCTGCTCAAGCTTTTTGACATGAGTGGAGTCCACAAAGATGTGCATGTAAGACTCTGAATTTTTATTCCAAAGTACCTTCATAGTTTTAACTGTGAAATACTTAGACTCTTCTTCTTGACTATCGTTGAAATATGAGTCCATTCTTGACTCGTTAAACAGAGAAATCATAGAGTTGATGGCTTTCTTGGTGTCCCTAGTCTGGTCAAGTTTATGTCACTGATGCTTCAAGAAAGTAGAGAGGGAACTACTATACAAAGGATCCTCTTGATTAGCAATCCTCACTTGCTTAGGAGAATCATATATATCAAGCATCGAGCCGGTTGAGTCAGCCTGCAAGACATACTCTCTCGCAGTGTTGTTCACATACTTTAAAACTAGTTTATTATCCTTCTCTAGCTGCTGAATAATAACACCTTCTGGAAAGAGCTGGAAAATTTTTTGAATTGTTTCAGTGAGGTCTTTATTTTCTTTAACCAAATGTAGCATATTCTTAATATATTTTGAATGGAGTAGTGGCCCAATTCAAACAAATAATATAGCCAATAAAGTAGTAGTATAAAACATTGTTGGGACACCTCCTTTGCTATTTTCAGAGGAGCTTTCAGTTTGACAGGCATATTTCAAGTGCACTCTGATAATCAAAATAACCATATTTATAGAATGTGGGATCACTAAAAACTTCCATTGTAATCATATGAATGCATTACATAGAAATACAAGACTCATGTACACAATCCACATTTCGTAGAAGTGATACTGCTCTTTGATCAAATTTCCTGTGGTGCAGTTGTGGCCCCAGAGTAAGAGCAATCAAGCGAAAAAGTATTTATTTTAACTCTGGTCTTGTTTTTCCAATATAATTTAAAATAGAATATGTAATCATAAAAAGACATATGATAAACAAGCATCTCTTCTTTAGTGCAGGATCATTAGAGAAAGAAAACACAAAGATGAAGATAATAATATTAGCGATTCTATTAAGATTAACTAAAGCATCCCAGCCGTTAGAAATAGATTTCCTGCTACTTTCCTCAAGTAGGTCCTTTATCTTTTCATCTCCTTCATTGAAACTTCAAATGAATTCCTTCGTATTTTTACAAATATCCATAATTGGTTGAAAAATTCCCATCATCAAGTTCATCAGGTAACTATCCTTAGTCTGATCGATTCCTTTGCAATCACTGTCTAACTCAGACCCAATAAAGGAATCCCTACTTCCATACCCAAAACTATGAAAACTGTTGCGTTTCTGGTTTCTTTTACGTATCATTTTCCCTTAAAATATTTATAATTGAGTGTGGGGTTTTGGGGTTTTGGGGTTTTGGGG